CTTAGCACACCCATCTTGGGCTGGGGTCGTATGGCCTGTTTCCATGGCAGAGCCTCCCTGCTGATGATGGGTGAGGGCTTGCTGGCAGGATGAGTAAATATCTGGATAGTTTCGGCTCCTTCTTTGTGGGGCAAACCATGAGACATTTTAGTGACACGTCCCGGACTGTTGAAGGTCTTAAGACCACTGCCCATGAGGTCCACGTAAAAGGTGCCGTAGACACCGCAGCTATCGGTCACAATGGGAACGGTCGACTCCAGGCAGCTGCTGTCCTTCTTGGATGAGACTGGGAGGCCTAAGAAAACAGAGAGATTTATAAGAACACAAGTAGAACAAAAGGCTGCATCCCAAATTGCAAAATACTGTATGGGTTTAAAAGGTTTCTATGTTTCACACATTGGGCCACAAAGTCAAGCTCGGCAGTAATCCCAGGAATGAGTTGAACAAACACAGCTGTCAAATCTTATATAAGACGAACTATCTGAGCAGCTTTAGCCTGCACACAGATGCCTAAGAATCTTACAGATGTAGCACCTTCAAGCTGTTCTACAACCATCACCACCCGGGCACTTCTTTTCAGGCTTTGTCTTTCTAATCACTGTAGTAGCTGTGGCCATTAAGGCCTGTTCTGTTCTACTCTGGGTCTTGCTGCTGCTTTACCTTCTTGCAGCTTCATGTGGCACAGCCATAAGGTGGTTAGCAGTGTCACTTCCTGGTTTGAACCCCAACTGGAGTTTGCAACTCTGTGGAGTTTGCATGGTCTCCCTGTGCCTCTAGGTATTCTGGCTTCCTCCTATAGTGAAAAGGCATGCATACTGGGTTAACTGGATATTCTAAAATGACTGGATGTGAGGAAGCTAAAGATGGTCAATAAAAGAAGCTCTACATAAATGTGTCTGTTCATCTCAAACAGTGCTGTCATAAAGCTCCGCCCATGTTTGGAACCAGTCTTTACATTACTGCCATCTTGTGGCTACATTTAGGTATTGTCACTGAAAGCTGTGCTTATGCTCACTGGAAACTGAGCACAAAGTATACTGGCTCAGCTGTCACTGCTCTGGAATCAGCTAGGATCTCCACTTTGTATGAAAACGCAGTTTGCATTAGCCAGTAAACATGCTTTGGTGATTCAGCATCAGAACAGTTTCAAATTAACATCCAATTAAATGTCTGCCCACCTGCTGTGCCAACACTCCACAATCATTTTCATTAATATTTGGATTCCCCGCATAGATATTGACAGTTTACCATGTCACACACGACTCAAACCTTTTAATTCATCTGATCTGTTGTTATTAATACATCTGGTCCTCAAAGGACAGCCATAATACAAACATATGCATTAAAAAAAGGTGATGCTGAACATTAAACAGAATATAAAGTACTTAAAATGAGCTCAATATTAAACATATCCAGGATTAATAGTAATTCTTTTAACACCGATGGAGTGTTTACAGTGAAAATAGAATATCAATCATATATATTTCATTTTTGTTTGAGCAATTTGTATATATTAAAGCCATTTCTTATATTTTGTAAACTGTGTAATATATATTGTATTATTTAATTAGTTCAGTCTGTTACTGTTATTGTCTTGAAGCAAATGTAGCCAAATAATTTCCTCAGGGATTCATAAAGTATTCTGATTCTAAACTGCCTTTCTGTACCACAGTCGCCACACGCCTCTCGTGTACATACAATGTTGCACACAGTGTAATGTCTATGTGAGAATAGCACATGTTGTAGTCCAGTAAATTCAAGCCAGCAGCACAATTTCAGACAATGTCCTAACCTAATTCTCCAGATTGTTTTACATGACGTCTGAAAACAGTTTATGTAGCATCATCAGAATCATTGGTTGATTTTCTTCGTTTCCTCAACAGTAAGCAAAAAATCTTTGGTGGATTTTAAGAGGTCACCACAAACCCAAACAAGTAAATCTAGTCAGGTCTGCTGTAGGACAGCAGTTTGGGAGAAAGAAGTCATCATCAATCTACTGTTTTGCAGTCCATACTCACTGGTGCTTCGGATTCCTGGGTGATGCTGACCTTGGGCCCATAGGTCATGGTACTTTTGACTCAAAGAAGGTCTCCAGCCTCCGGGGATCCACGGTGAATCTGGAGCTGCCATCCTGGAGAGAAACCAAACCAAAATGAACTCGCTGTAACCAAACGTCAAATATTAGAGACATTTTTATGCTGTAACATAGATCTCACTTTGTGTTCTCTACCATGGATACCGTGGAATTCTTGTTAACAAATGGTTTTTTACTTTTGAATAGTACAAAACACTCTGACAGTGGAGGGGAAGATGAAGCATGTCCGATGCCCGTCTGCTCCAGTCTGCATGCAAGCTACTAACCCCAAGCTGCTTCATATGAATACGTGTGAATGATTGGTAGGAGAAGTGCTTGTGCGAGTTATGTAAAGCGCTGTAAGTGCTCAGAGTAGAAAAGCGTTATATAAGAAGCAGTGGTGCTCTAGTATTTACCTAACCATAGTCATGTCAGAGGCTGGCACATCCCGAGTTTGAATAAGAAGGCAGCAGTACTGCAAACCATGCAATGATGGAAGCAAGAGAAAAAAAATGACGATAACTTGGAACAATCTTGAACTTTTTTTTAGAGTGAATGCAGCCATCTATGAAGCGCCTTGAGGCGACTTTTGTTGTGATTTGGCGTTATATAAATAAAATTGAATTGAATTAAATTGAGGGGTTGGTGAGTTTATTTTCTACTAAAAGTTGTAACACCATTTGGTGGTTTCTGTTCAATATTTTGTGATGCTCATGTTTCGAAGGGTTAGGTCACTCAGTAATTCCTGTGTAAAGTATTAAGTCAGTAAAAGGAGTCTTTCCCTTTAAAGCTCACACAGATAGATTTAGGAAAGTACTGGATGGAGGAAAAGTAAAGAGGACTGGTTCTTCCGTGCTTTTCACTAACATTCACAGATAAACACATTACAGAGAGTTCAGTATCCTGTCCAAAAATGCTTAGTCGTTAAGTTAAGGATCTGACCATCAACCTTTCGATAGGCAGAAGACCTGCTCTACCTTGTACCTACACTACCTTTTTTTCCCAGGTGAATACTTTTAGGTGGTGAAAACAGATTTAGCTTCTGTTCAGCCTACTGCTTACTCCCTGTGCTTCTTCAACGCGCCATCAACTAAAAGCAGGTGTTTTTTTTGTCTGTAAACAACATCTAAGAGAATGAATGTGATACATTTAACCAGCTGTCTTACCAACACTTTAAAAGCTGACTTGCTGACTATAATGCAAAGTGGTTTGTATACATTCAAGACACTACTTGAATGAATGTAAAGCTGATTCATCCACACTTGGTTTTAGTGGTTTGAATGTATTCCTGTCACTTTATTGTCGCAACAGAATCGAATATGCATCTTCTTTTCATTTTACCTGTGTTTTATAATGAGATCTTCACCGACTAGTCTTCGCAAACCTAAAAGTAAAGGAAGATATAGTATCAACAAAATATGCATATTATTGTTTATCACAAAGCCTTTGTGGGTGTATTGGAGG